GGGGCGGGCTAAAATTTTGTGGGTTAAGGCAAAACCCGCCCCGCACCACCACATTGCCATCTCTAGCCTTAAGTGCATGAAACCATTTGTTGTATTTCACACCTATTTGGCCTTAAGTACATCTGAAGTGCAATTTTTCACTTCAGACTTATTGGCCTTAAGTACATCTGAAGTGCAATTTTTCACTTCAGACTTATTGGCCTTAAGTGCATATGAAGTGCAATTTTTCAATTCAGCCTTATTGACATAAAGTGCAAGAAACTATTGGTTGCACTTCAAACCTATTTTGGCCTTAAGTGTATTTGAAGTGTAATTTTCACTTTAGACTAATGTATTTTAACTTCAGATCCGATAAGTCTGAAGTTGATCGTAAAGTGGGTATAGGTTCAATTGTGACCCGAAAATCAGGTATAGATGCAAAAACCCTAATTTAATCCTAATACAACTATACAAGAAAAGATGACGAGAGATTATTAGGAAACGAGTGATTGTGTTATGATAAGTTTTTATTCTTTTATCTTTTAGGCTTAAAATAAGAGATTATTTTTTCATTTAGATTGACTTTTGTCAACTTGATCAAGATAGGAAAAAATCTTTTATTGTATATAGTGTAAATTTGCAAATGGTTATCATGAATGTTATATATTCTTATAAGCCTTGTAGTTAGGAAAAATTACCCAAAACATTCGGCGGTTATTTGGTTGGGAACAAGTCACCTCGAAACTATAGAAAAAAAGATTAAATAGTGATGAAATTATTAAGTGAATATATTTTTATTGGTAAATGTTTGATTTTTTGGACTTAAAATGGAATACAAAGGGGGCATAATATAAATATGTGACTGGTGTATACTAGATAAGTTGGGATAAATTTTTATCTTAAATTTTAATCTTGAATTTTTAGAGGATTTTAGGGGAATAGCCTTGGAGAAAGACATTTTTGTTATAGTACTTTATCTTGGGATTAGTAATCCAAACATTATTATCCCACCCTAAATGTGGAATAGAATAGTACCATAATTACTGAATTAACTAATCTCGGAGTTGCTAATTCAAAATTTATTCAAACGCAAGATAAATAATCTCGCATGTAATTCGGAAATTATTTTCTCATATCCCACCAACCAAACCATCCCTTATCTTTTTTTCTCCTTTAAGGTTTTTCATTCATCTACATTTTTCAGCTGCAGAAAATTTTGAATTTATGGATAATGTTCGTGCTCCAAATAAACTTATTACTGCATAGAATAGCTACTTCTCCAAATTCCCCGCAAATATCGTATAGCAAAATATTATTTTGCAAGACTAACTGTAACCCTGGTATCGAGAAGCAATTAGCACAATGACCTTGTTGACATCTTTTGAAAATGTAGAATGTTTCTTACCTCAAAAATACAAGGTCACCTTAATAAATTTAGAAAAGGATTGAACAATTCTCATAACTATGCCTGAACCAAGTATCTACAGTGGGACTGTGTGGGCATTTTTCATGTATTTCATAAGGATATATGGCACTATTTCCTTATTAATTACAGTTTATTTCAAAAAGAATAGTATTTTTTTATAACTAAAACTAATTTTTTAAAATTATTTATCTTTAATGAAAAAATTTATGGCAATATAAATATTTCAAAAGTTTTAAAGTCACACAAATATTATGACATATCAAAGATATCAAGTCTCAAAAATTCTATATCATACGAATTGAAACACAAAGGGAGTAACTTATACTTAAAGCTGCACTTTTTGTTAGAAAGAGTAGTTGGTGCATGTACTTTGGATCTATTAACTTAAAATTATTGAATTTGTACGTGATAATAAAGATTGCTGGCTTTTTCAACTTGGAAGGATTGAGAAACGAGAGAGAGATATTTCTTCAAATATCAAGATATTTTGGGAAGTTGAAGATTCATGCCTTAGTGTGAAAATGAAGTGGTTTGTCCGGTTCTGGGGGTTTGAGATATTTCTCCATACTGCAAAAAATTTGTATATTTGTGTGGTTGCAAATGAATTTATACCTCACGGCATACTATCCTTCTTTTATCTGAAACAGTCTCTAATTTTCTCATCCTACAGCTTCCAAAATGGCAGCAATGGCTGCAGCATCAACAAACACCTCATTATTTTCAGCAACTCGTTCTGCTTCTAATAGTAATGCAACTCCCACTGTTTCAAATGTATATGGTACGTTCTTGCTATCATTTTTCCATTTGATTGTCACAGTAGCAAAGCCGGAAATTCAGAATAATAGAGATTAAAAATATATTAGAGTGTTACACTTAGGATTGGAACCTGTGACCTAAAATAATTTGTGAACATCTTTTGCTACTATACTGGAATCTTTCCTTGAGGATTCAATAGTTCATATAATCCAAAAGAATTGTTTTTGCCTTGAGGATTCAACCTTTAAGAGTTTTAGCATTGAACACATTATTTAGTTAAAGTTATGGGTTCAATCAAATATTTGTTGCAATTCTAGTGAATTTTACATATAAATTTATGTTGCGTGTCGAAAATACTGGATTCAGATGAATCCGGTACTGAAGAGCTAGATACGCCACTGACTTCCCCCATGTGATGATAGATGCTTAGTTCTTGTTGTTACACTAACTTTGATATTAATTCCAATGTTGACCAAAGTGTGAGAATTGAGATTTAGAGAAAAGTTGTAGAGAACTCCTAACTTGGTTAAAAGGCTAATTTTTCTGATCATTGGAATGAAATATGACCAAATTGGATAGAATGTCTAACATGTCTGTATATTGAAAACGCAGCTACAAGTTTTATGGGAGCTCACTTGAGAAGATGTTATCCAGCAACGAGGAAACTAGTACGGATTAATGGGGGAATAGTTGCCGCTGCTGTTGCAACTTCCCCTGCAGAGGAAGTCAAAGAGTAAGCTCCACCTTCCTCTTTTCTTCTGCGTTTTGATGAGATACTTGTTTATGTTGTAATTATATACATTTGTTACTCAACTGTGATGTTTTGTAACAGGGGAGTTTTTTCATCATATTACCAATGTACTTTATATTTATCTTCATCTTCCATAATCTTTGTACCTTATACTATTTCAAGACGAGTTAGCCCCAAGGATTTGTTCCCAAGTGTAGTTCAGTTCATATCCTAAATTAATGAAAATGATTTTTCTACTATTTTTGTATGCGTTGCAAGTTGGCTACTTTTATGATCGATGGTCACTTGATATGGAACTATGGAAGTTTAACAATCGCCAACGTTCATGTTACAGATACTCACTTCCGACATGGGCTAAATTTGACCTTGGAAGAGCACCAGTCTATTGGAAAACAATGAATGGTCTTCCTCCTACCGCGGTATGTTTCATATATCTAAAATATGGATAGTTTTTTTAAATATAATAGGTCTGAATTGCTTTTAAGCTTAGGTCCTAAATCTTTTTTTGACAGGGAGAGAGACTGAAGCTTTTCTATAATCCAGCTGCAAACAACATGGTCCCTAATGAAGATTTTGGAATTGCTTTTAATGGTAATTTCTTGTTTGTTTTACGGAACTTGATGCCTAATATGAATTTCTAGTTCACATAATTACTTAGATTCCAAGTTGCTTTCATGTGATCATGACCGAGGTCACGGGTTCGAGTCGTGAAAACAGTCTCTTGAAGAAATGCAGGATAAAGCTGCGTACAATAGACCCTTGTTGTCCAGCCCTTCCGTGAACTCTGCGCATAGCGGGAGCTTAGTGCATCGGACTGTCCTTAAATTCTGAAGCTAAAGGAATACTAAAATCATCAAACAAGTTTCTTCCCTTTTTTCTTTCATGTATATGCAATTTTCTTCATTATGCTACACACCCTTAATTAGATCCTGTAATATAAAAATTAGTGAACCTCTATTGAAAATGCTGAATTCTTGAGCCATAAATTCAGGAGGTTTCAATCAGCCTATCATGTGTGGTGGTGAGCCTAGGGCAATGCTCATGAAAACTAGAGGGAAAGCAGATCCTCCTATTTATACAATTCAGATATGTATTCCCAAGCATGGTGAGTTTTATTAGTTAAGAAACTTGTCTTAAATTGCATGACAAGATATATCTTTTACCCATTTTTAACATTTTGTTTATCTGTTTCAGCCCTTAGTTTGATCTTCTCATTCACGAATGGAACCGAATGGGATGGTCCCTATCGACTACAGTTTCAAGTCCCTAATGCTTGGCGAAATAAACCAACCGAGTTCTTCACTGAGGTAGCTAGCTTGATTTTCAGTAGGGGTTGCAATTTAAGCCCAAACTCATTTGACCCGCCCAACCACCTCAAAGTTGGACCGGACATTGACCCGTCCATTTGCTGAACTTGGCCCATCTTGACCCAACCTGTTTCGGACCATCTAAATTGATCCAAAATATCTTTATTTTTTTGTTTGATATGTTATATATGACCATGACAAAAAAAAAAGTCTTATTTGATAATTAAACAACTCATAAGAAAATAATATACATTAATTAAAGCTTGATAAGAGTTGCGCGGATTGGACTATGATCCAAATTTTAGCCCAACTTGACACAGTCCATCTCAGCCCAAGTTGCTTTTAGGCGGGTCAATGACCCGTCCATTTATTGACTCAACACATTTTGACCCGCCTAAAATAGCCCGACACGCCCATTTGACCCGTCCATTTATTGACTCAACACATATTCACCCGCCCGAAATCAGCCCAACCCGCCCGTTTGACATCTCTAATTTTCAGTCATGCTTATGTCATTTTTATTATAATAGGAATATATGAGTCATGGTCACTGGCTTCTAGCTCTAGTATGATGAACTTGTATTGGTTTCTTCATGTTAAATTGACTGCCCAAATATTGTGATTTTCAGGGGCTTGCAGGGGAGTTAAGTCAGGAGGGTGCGTGTGACAAGGCAATTTTCCCGGACACGAATATTGTGATCACAAGATGTGCTATGGTTGGTAACTTGTCTGTGGAAGGAGTAAGTGTAAATCATCTTTGCTCTTTGTTTCTGTTTCAATAATTTCCTTTATTTTGATGTTGAAAGTTTTATTTCAAAGCTACAGTATTTGATTAGAAGCGACACTATGCTGATACAGGGTGATCGTTGCGAACTTGATATAGTACCTGGATGCATTGACCCAAGCTCTCCCTATTACAATCCATTAGCCAATGTTGATGATGGATCTTGTCCACCATATTCAGATGCTGAGGATTAACTTTCACTACATATGACCGATGCTTATACCTTAGTGTTATCGATGAGAGTCTTTCACACTAGGGGATCGTTTGGTAGGATACATTACATAAAATAATGCATACATTAGCTTTGTGTATGAGTTCGCCTTCCACTATTTCCCTTACCCTTCACCTTTCCCTGGTTCCTCTGCGTGATAAAGCAAACATCTAGACTTAGTAAAGAGAAACACTTTGAGTAAATATGAATCTCCAACACTATACTGCGGATACTTGAAATGTCCAGTTATACAAGTAGAGCATTTGTACTGGTATATTGTGCAGAACCTTACGGAACTTTGATAATTACCTGTTAGCAATTTGGTATATAGCCGAAAAAGCTCTGCTAGACGATTCTTCTTGTACTATTGGGTGTTGAGCCATCCCCAAACCCCTTGGAACAAATGCCATTATTTGTATAAACTTATTAGAACTGAGCATATCGCCTAAAGAAAATTAAGAACATATATACATCGTTCAAGTCCAAATCAACAGGTTAAGTTAAATCCACAAAATTCGTCCTAAATCCGCCTCTCAATTTGCAACAGCTCCATAAGGAACTTTACAAGAAGTGATTTCAGGACTAAGAGAGGAGGAATATTCAGTGGAACTCTCTGAAAACAGAACTAAGTGGATTACGCATTCTTAAACGTTTAGTAACTATAACATGGCATGATAGCTGAAACTAGACATAATTTTTATGTTCGATAAATGTTCTCGAAAATTGTACAAGGATGCTTAAAAGATAAGCAGAAAGAAAACCAGGGGGAATTTATGTGGAGGGGGTTGGGTACATGCACCATGCTCCTCTCCTAGGTTATGTATAAACAATACTAACTTTTCAGATTTGTGGTCACTCATGATCAAGTGTTATTGCTATTGTTTGTTTATTACTTCCTTTTCACTGTTTTTGAGCCAAGGGTCTATCGAAAAAGTTTCTCTATCTTCGTAACACATTATCCTCAGACCCCATTTGTAAAATTTCATTGTATTTTTTGTTGTTGTTGTCACCCATGCTCATCTGACTATTTTGTTGCTTCTAAGTGGCCCTTTTGACCCTCAGGGGTTTGATCCCCATATAGTTATTTTTAATGTAATATTTTTTATAATTAATAAATAAATAAATCCCTAATTTTCCATGCCTTTTTTTAATTAACATAATGATACACTTATATTCTTAAAATTCTAGATACACCTCCAAAGAAAACATGTCAAAAGTATAAGGGATGCTTTATGCAAATTATATTCGGCACTTAACTTTATAATGTAGTAAATAATACTTAATAACCAACAGACTAACAGCTACTTAGGAAGAATATAAAGATTGGTTAGACATGTTGAGACTTGAGTTGAGACTAATTCCAAAGTTTTTACTTGTATTTTATACCTTTCTTTCTCCTTTTTTCTTACATTTCTTTTCGTTGGACTTGATAAGTTGAGAATTCGGCCCAAATCCTCACCCCATAATGGAGCCCAAGCCTACTTGTAAGTGGGCCTAGATTCGCTGACGTAGAAGCAGCCTCAAACCCGTGATTGTGATAAATGCTCAGTAACACACAACTCTGCATTTATTTCATCTCCTCCTCATACTCGTGAATCCATAATTATCCTACTTAAATTTATGCACCCACCATTTTTTATTCACTTGTCACACACTCCAACCTGGGAATTCAATAAATTTCCCATCTCTTATAAAATACCCCTAGAAATTCAGACATTATAACAAGTTTCTTTCATTCCAACATGGCCTTTTTTCTCTCAATACAAGCAACTTTACTACTATTTCTTTCCTTCTTTCCACTAGGCTGGTCATTCACCGTTATAATGTCCGATTCGGGTACGCCTTCAGCTCTGGTTGATGCACCACAAACTGGCTACTCTATGAATAATAACCGTGCACGAACCGATCCTCGTGAACGAGAAGCTGTTTACGACATTATGAGGGCCACGGGGAACGACTGGGCCACCGATATCCCTGACGTTTGTCGTGACCGATGGCACGGAATCGAGTGTATGCCGGACTACGACAACGTCTACCATGTTGTATCACTTTCTTTTGGAGCATTGTCCGATGATACAGCATTTCCTACTTGTGATTCAACTCATTCTTTCATTTCACCTTCTGTTACAAAACTTCCACATCTTCGAACTTTATTCTTCTATCGTTGCTTTAGTAACAATCCTCAGCCCATTCCAGCATTTCTGGCCCAATTAGGGCCCACTTTACAGACACTAGTTTTAAGAGAAAATGGGTTCACAGGGCCCATTCCAAATGAATTGGGTAACTTAACCAGTTTGAGAGTCCTAGATCTTCACAAGAACAATCTCAACGGTTCAATACCGGTTTCTCTAGGCCGGATCACCGGTTTGAGGTCGTTAGATTTGAGTGATAACAAACTAACCGGTTCAATTCCGAGTTTGACTTTCCCTCAGTTAAATGTGTTAGACCTTAACCAAAATCACCTTGCGGGTTCAATTCCATCCACACTCATGAAGTGTCATTGGCTTATAAAGCTAGACCTGAGTCGCAATCGCCTCTCAGGCTCAATACCTTACTCCATCGATAACTTAAACAATCTCATCCTCATGGATTTGAGCTACAACAGTTTAACAGGTTCATTCCCAATCTCGCTCAAGAAATTAAATTTTCTCCAAGCCTTAATCCTCAACGGCAATCCAATGGACTCTGCTACTCTACCAGTTAACGGGTTTGATGGTTTCAAGGACTTGATGATTTTAGCTTTATCGAATATGAATCTTCAAGGTTCAATACCGAATTCTCTAGGCCGGTTGCCTAAAATTCGAGTCCTTCATCTTGATGGGAATCAATTCAATGGCTCAATCCCATTAAGTTTTGGTAATTTAAATAGCTTAAGTGAGCTCAGGCTAAACAACAACATGTTAAGTGGACCTATCCCATTTAAGAGAGATATGGTTTGGAGAATGAGAAGGAAAATGAAACTTGCCAATAATGAAGGGCTTTGCTATAACAACGAAAATGGTCTTGGAGATGATCTAGAGACGTTGTTGGATTCGGGGATTGGACATTGTGGAGATTCCAAAACAGAACCAACAAAAATAGTGGAACATATTTCAACACTTAATAGAGGAAGTATTTCAAGATCAAATAGTGACTCAGGTGTTACATTGAACAAATTACAACTTCTTTCTAAGAGCTTGATTCAGTCGGCAACTTTAGTTTTGTTTGCATTCCATTTATTATGAGAAATTGTTTAGTGGTTTGTGTACAGTATCTTTTTTGTCTTTCAGCCTTTAAATGTAACAAAGCATCATAATATTAAATACGAGGGGTGTTATTATTTTCATTCTTCTTACCTTTTCTGGTACTTTGTCAATGACAATTGCAAAATAATTGTCGAAGTCTCAGGACTTGGTCTTAACTAGACTAACTATTTTCAAACAAACTTGGGCAATATTACAAAAAACACTTAACATCTAAATTCGAGATCATGCTTGCAGTTGGAATGTTAACATGGATATGACCATGTATATTAATATTCCAGCTTACAATAAAATTAATGAAGGAGGTGAATATAAACGAAAGTCTCTAATTGTATTTTCTGATTAGCTGCCAAGAAGAGAGCCTCTTCATATAAGACTTTTAGAATGTACAAAACGATATAAAAAGGACAGAGCTTCGTCTGCTTTGGAAAATTCATCAAAGATATATTGAGTAGTTGTTAGAGGGTATTGGCTGTCACAGTTGAAAGAATCTACATTGTCTTCAAATTAATTTAAGTCGATGTGATTTAAGAAGGTGAAGAACTTTCTTGGAACAACCATGGGCTATGCATAGAGGCGCTGTAAGAAATTAATGCGCAGTCATTAAGACACAATTATACCATTAATCTAAAGTTAGAGTTTAAGGAAGCGTACAGTTCAACTCTATCGATTTTGGGATATCTACAATTACCACATATTCAAGAGGCAGAATGCTCTAGGGTTTTCTAATAAAAAGTAGGTTGGCCTTTATCTATAAAGAGTGTTTACCCATCATAGGTCAATTGTTATTGTGCCTCATTTATCCACACACATAGATTAGACCTTTTATTTCTCCGCCATCGTGGCCACATCGTTATCCTTTCAGACTATAACCAAATAATGTAAGTCTAAATTCAAACACGCGCACGAGCAGATGAGCAGAGCAACCACGTTAAAGAAGCAGCTAGTAGCAAGATGGGCAGTTGATAGACTCATTGAAGAAGTAATAAGTCAATTTCGTTGGCACAACAACAGGGCCATTGTCCCAACCAAGCTCAAGGACATGTCCCAATTAATCATGCCCAAATCCAAATGGACTTCTCCACAAGAACTGGCCATACAATTCTTGTCCTGCTTCAGTCCTTGGCTAATTCCTTCGCATCTGCAAAATCTTTATCACACTCGGTTGCAAAAGATCAACGAGTTGCAAATTGAAGAGGCTATAATTGATGAGGGAATGGTTGAGATTCAGTCCAATTGTATCTTATATCTTCCATTTGGTTTGACGTAGTTACGCAAGAGTACTGAGTCTGTAAAAGCTTGCATCCAATCTGAGTTCAAGAAGATCCATAGGGTCATTACTAAAGCCCAAAACCTGAGGCTAAAGGCGGTGGAAATGGCAGTGAGGGAGCTGCTGAGCCAAACTGAGGCAGTAGATTGCCTTAGCAGGAAACTTGTTTTACCAAGCAGCTACGCGGCACAAATTGAGCAAAAGTTCAGATTCTGGAAGAATAATTTCACGCAACTTTCGGTATGATTATTGTATGGGTCAAAATATGCCCTAAAATATTTAAGATAAAATAACACTAAAGAAAGAATCATCGAGCCGTCGTCAGTCGAGGTCGAGCACCGTTGATAAAGCTGTAACGATTAGTTTTCGAAATACGATATTAAAGAGAATATTCTAGTGGATATTCTCTACACTTGTACTATTAGGGTTTACTAGGAAAATGTCTCGTTTAAATAGAAAAAGAGACAATGATAGGGGCATGTGACATTCATTTTGTAAGAATAATCTTTTGACATAAGATTCTCTCTCTTACTACGATACAAACACTACCTTTTCATCAAGATTCTCATTCATATTATTATATATTTTTCCATCAGATCAGAAAATAGTTCGAACATTCTAGGATTTGTCTGTCACTCATCATTGTCGGAAGGAACAACCATCTAGCTCATACTTTATTGGGTGAATTCCTCCTCCTATTTACTTAAATGTCATTTATTGTTATTCATTGCTATTAAATGTTATATTATTGCTCATACTTTTTAGAATAGTTATTGCACGTTGCTGTCTTTCTTCCACCAGATCTATTTGACGCTAGTCATGTTTTCAAACTTCACATCTAGAAATATTATTGTTAATTAGGTTTAACCCATTATCACATAAATTTAATTATTTGAACTAAGAGTTATATTTTTTTGTCAAATAATTTGGCACCGTCTGTGGAGATTTCTTAGTTAAGCTTTTAGTTTCTTCTAGATCTACAACTAACACGGGTCACTAATATAAAAACAAAAAAGAGCAAAAATAAGATATCCTTTCTTAGTGTGCACACATTCCAATATGGCAGGTAACCGAGAAGAAAGGACGAGAATAATAAATGACCTCCCAACTAACCTCATGAACGTCATCAACGAAAGATGTGAAACGGCAGGCGAAGACGCAACGCCCAGTGCCTCCCCTAGGCAAGATGGTTCGCCGCCTCCTTACTACAACATCACAAAATCTCTTGGTAAGGGAGCCTCTACATCTGTGGGGGAGGAGACGCCCCCAGCTGTAAAAAAGCTCCTCAAAGCATGGCTAACTGACATGCTAACCAGCGTCCTCAACAAGCTCGCCAGGGACACGGCTACAAAAAACACAAAGACTTGCACTATACAACCAACAGACGAGCAGTGCAACCAACTCCCTCTTCCTCCAACGACAGGTATTACTCACAATGTCATTAATAATGCAGGTGACAACGCTCTCGCAGCCATTTTGAAAAGGATGGAAGAAATAGAGAATAAGAACAAGACACTCCGAGATCAAATGAAAGAACACCATGAAAGGGTCAATAAATTACTGGACCGCCCCAAGTTGTTGCCAAAGAGTTATGCCGGTTGTTCAGTGATGATGCGGCCCCACATGCTATACCAAAAACCTTTAAAATGTCGCCCTACCTCAGGATATATGACTGCACAATCGACCCCGAAGATCATGTGACTCATTACGTCATCGACGTAAAAGGAAACAACCTCGCTAAGGAACACGTGTCTTCCATTTTGCTGAAGAAGTTCGGCGAAACCCTCACTGGAGCAGCATTAACACGGTATTCGCAGCTACCAGCATGCTCCATTGAAACCTTTAAAAAAATGGCCGACAAGTTCGTAGCGGCTCGCGCTGGAGCCAAAAAGGCCGGGGCAAGAGTGAACGACATATTTGTCGCCAAACAATCTCTAGGAGAAGGATTGAGGGTCTTCCTCGTCCGGTTCAACCGAGTGAGGATGACTTTACCAAACGTGTTCGAAAGGATGGCAGTCGCAGCCTTTCAGAACGGGTTGAGCAGGGATGGTTCAAGAGCAACGAGAAAACTGTTAAGTCAGTTGATGAAGTACCCTCCAACCACTTGGGACGAAATCCACAATGATTATTGTGCCGAAGTCCGTGCAGACGAGGACGACCTCAACGGACCAACCCATCGGCTAACCTCAGTACAAGCGGAGTCAAGAAAGGATCGAAAACACAACGCCAGAAGATATCACTCGATCCCACGACTTAACATGGAATGAAATCAACCATACATCAGGGCGGCTATCGCACCTTCCCCTCACTATGAAGAAGGGCGTCCAGATCAAGGACGGTAACTCATCGGAACGATAGAGGTATGCCCTTGTTGTCTGCTCACAATTTTTTTTGTGTCACCTACAAAGATAGTCTACGCCCTAGAGAAGCCCGGACCAAAAGTGAAGTGGCTGCCAAAGATGAGATCAGACCCTAACACTAGAAAGTCTAATGCCCTCTTTGAGTTCTACCATGAACGAGGGCACAAAATGGAAGATTGCATCGCACTAAGGTAGGAGGTCATGAATATGCTACGTCAAGGACATCTTAGAAAGTTGCTAAGCGATAAGGGAAGAACAAATTTCGCCAGAGGGAGCGAACATCAAGGACTACCCAAACCACCCTTACCAGCCCGTACCATCAACATGATCATCAGAGACGACGCCTCTATCAACAGCGTGAAATTCACCACTACACACAAACTCAAGCGACCCATCACCCGAAAACGGTATGACAAACTCGAAGAAAGTATCATCTTCGACAAGTTGGACGTCGACGGTTTGGTCTTTCCTCATCATGACGTTCTCGTTATTACTCTGCGAATTTTGGATACTGATATTAAATGTATTATGATTGATGACAGAAGTGGCGCATGTATTATCCATCCCCGAGTACTTACCCAAATGAGGCTCAAGGATAAGATAGTACCACGCTGTATCACACTAACTAGTTTTAACAATGCAGTTGAGCGGACATCCGGGGAAATTACTCTCCCCGTTTTGGCTGGCGGCATAACCCTCAAAATAACATTCTACATCATGGACTAATACACCGCGTACAATGCCATAGTGGGGCAACCGTGGATACACCCCATGAAGGTCGTCCCCTCCAACTTATACCAAGTCATCAAATTCCCAACTTCGTGGGGAATATTCAGCATATGAGGAGAGCAGCGCATATCTCGGGAATGCTACCGAATCGCTTTAGACAATACGACCTCCCAACAAAGGAAGGACAAGGAAAACGAGGCATAGCAATCATTAGGGTCGAGGTCGGGGGACAACGAGGTCGGGGAAGGCATCAAAGATCTCGACATAGTCGAAGCCACAGGGCTGACCATACAAGACCTCGGCCCCGTTCAATTAGACTCCAACGACCACAGGTAAATTCAGTCAATTCTTAAAAGCTAACACGGATTTGTTTGCTTTCAGCCATTCAGATATGTTGGGAATCCCAAAGGAGATCGCCACGCACAAATTAAACGTCGACCCCTACCACCCCCCGGTGAGGCAGGTCAGGCGTAAATTCAACTCCGCAATAAATGATGCAGTGCGCGAAAAAGTGGAAAAACTATTAGAAAATGGTTCCATAAGGGAATCAAAGAACCCCAAATGAGTCGCCCACGTGGTAATGGTTAAAAAAAGAATGGGAAATGGCGGATGTATGTAAACTTCACAGACTTGGACAACGCATGCCCAAAGGATTCATTCCCACTGCCTCACATTGACCAACTCATTGATGCCACGGTCGGACACGGACTGCTAAGTTTCTTGGACGCTTACTCATGCTTTAATCAGATCCTCATGGAAGAGGAAGATCAGAAAAAAAACCACATTCATCACCCACCAAGGAACGTACTGTTACAGGGTCATGCCCTTTGGATTAAAGAACGCGGGCGACCTATCAAAGATTGGTGACGAAAAAGTTCAAGGATCAGCTCGGCAAGATACTGGAAGTATATATAGATGACATGTTGGTCAAGTCGAAAAGAGGAGAAAATCATATCGATCATTTGAAAGGAGACTTTCAACATACTCAGACAGTACGGAATGAAACTGAACCCAGAGAAGTGTGTGTTCGGCGTAGCCTCAGGAACATTTCTAGGGTTCCTCGTATCACAACAAGGGATCGATATCAACCCTTACCAAATTAAAGTCATTGAAGGGATACCTGAACTCTTAACCACCAAAAAACAGGTACAAAGATTAACTGGCCGCATCGCCGCCCTATCAAGGTTCATCTCGCGGTCGTCAGATAGATTCCATAAATTCTTTGGCATACTCAAGAAATATAAAGGCCTCCAATGGACTTCGGAGTGAGTCCAGCCTCTGAGGGAACTAAAGGAATACTTGTCGTCGTCGCCCTTGCTTTCAAAACCCGAGCCAGGTAAACGTCTCCTCGTTTATCTAGATGTATTCGAGGTAGCTGTGAGCGCTGCCTTAATTCCAGAAAATAAAGGTACGCAATCTCCCATCTATTACATCAGAAAAACATTAGTCGATGCCGAGATGAGGTACACGCATCTAGAGAAACTGGCTTTGACCTTAGTCGTAGCTTCACGGAAGCTTAGACCATATTTCCAGTGCCACTCTATCTCAGTCATCACAACTTCCCCCCTAAGAAGCATTTTGCATAAACCCGAGCTGTCGGGGAGGCTAGCCAAATGGGCCATTGATCTCAGCAAGCACAATATCACATACTAGCCACGGGAGACGATAAAGTCACAAGTGCTCGTTGACTTCGTCGTCGTCTTCAGCGCAAAAATAATGCCTGAAGTCGAAAGGGAAGCCCTCCAAAATCCCCCCCAAACACAAGACCTCTAGGTCCTATACACTGACGGTGCGTCCAGCACGTCTGGGTTCGGACTGGGACTCGTACTTGAAGTACCAACATGCGAAGTAATTCACCAGTCCATAAGGTGCCCGGGCATGACTAACAACGAGGTCGAGTATGAGGCCTTCATTGCAGGTTTGAGACTAGCACTCAAGTATAGGGCAAAATGTTAAAATTATGTTGTGATTGCCAGCTCATAGTCAACCAAGTCATTAGGACTTTCCAAATCAAGGAACAAAGATTGCAAAAATACTAGACCAAAATATGCAAGTTGTTGCCCGAGTTCGACGAATGTCAGCTCGACCATATTCTATGAGCACAGAACGCCAAGGTAGACGGCCTCGCCAAGCTAGCCGCGGCTACCAAAAGCATCA